AATTTTTATTAATTATACTTTATTCACTTTATATCCCCACATAAACCCTCCCCTCCTCCCCTCCCAATCCCACTTTCCCTCCCTCTTCTCCATGCATGCCCCTTCCCAAGTCCACTGATAGGGGAGGTCCTCCTCTCCTTCCTTCTGATCCTAGTCTATCAGATCACATCCAGAGTGGCTGCATTGTCTTCCTCTGTGGCCTGGTAGGGCTGCTCCCCCATTAGGGTGAGGTGATCAAAGAGCAGGCCAATCAGTTCATGTCAGAGGCAGTCCCTGTTCCCATTACTGTGGAACCCACTTGGACATTGAACTGCCATGGGCTACCTGAGCCATGTCTTTAACCCCCAAATGTAACCTTTTAAAAATTAGGCTCTGTATTGTTGGGTGGTGGTGGTATACACCTTTGATCCGAGTTGAGTACTTAGGAGGCAGAAGCAGGTGGATCTCTTGAGTTTGAGGCCAGCCTAGTCTACATAGTGAGTACTAGGACAGCCAAGGCTACACAGAGGAGCCTGCTCTCAAAAAAGAAAAAAATAGGTGCTATAAAAGGTAGACTATGTCACGTATAATGTATCATGTTGCTGGTAAGTTTTTGACCTAGGGTCTTAAAGTCCCTGTGCGGGTAAGCCCTTTCTTTGCCTTTGTGGTTCCACTTTTACAAATCAAATGCTAGGTTTTGGGTGTCTTGAGGATGTGTTCTCCCACTGAGCTACTTTTCCAGACCAGTAATGATTTTTCTTTTTTTAAGAGTAGCTAGAGCAGAATACATGCTAGACAGAGAAGTTTAGGGAAAAAAAAAAATTCCCCGTATGGGACATAAGTTCAGTATTTATGCTATAATACAGGGCTCTGCAACTTTTGAACATTCTAGCTGTGGTAGGTTATGGTGGAGATTCTGATTTTGTTTTTAAAACTGGTTTACTTTGTATTAAGTGTCAACTGTAGTTAACATTAATTTACCTGAAATGACAGATGCAAAACTTGTACTGTAGATGTGTCGTTGGACTGTGGGGGAGAAGGGGTGGGGCAGAAACTTAGTTTTATCATGTGTCTGTTATTTGATAGAATGCACTGTTGCTTTTGGCAGAAATTCTGTTGTTGGAGCTCTTCGGTATTAAGAATTGAAAATCTAATAAAAAGTTATGATTATCCCTGAAAATGGTTCTTCCAGAATGAAGTGGGAGGGATAAGAAGGGATAAAGCTTGTTTTGTTTGCTCAGCAGACAAACACTGGAGATTAGGTAGAAAATTTAATGCTAGGACTGTAAGCTTTTAAGTCTGGCTGCTACTACAATGCAAGCCTTTTAGTGCCTCTGCTCATCTGATACACATTAGCCGTGATAACATTGAACCAAAAGATTGAAATGTAGGATAGAATTTCCTCGTGTTTTGCTGTGTACTGTATGCAAACCATTGTTTTGAGTTGTTTCTTTAATACTCTTTTCCTCATAGAAGTCATCGGTTGCAGATACTTGAAAAGGTAGACTTGCCTACAGAGAGAATGGGACTTGAAGAAAATGTGGGTGTATCCAAAATTGAAGGAAAAAAAGAACTAAGGAGTCAGGAAATCTAGGCTCTTGTCTGTGGTTTGTTCTTAATTAATAGTGTTGGTCTTAAAAACATTTTAACCTACTTGAACAATATCTTTTAGTTTTTAAAAGGTCAGAATAGTTTCTCTGCATTTCTCCTAGCTCTAACGCTCCTTGACCACACAAGAAGTCTTCTGTAAAATGTTTTGTGTAACCTTAGGTGCCCGTGCTTGAGGTTACAGTTAAAGTTAAGGATTATAAAAATAGTCATAATTTGAGGCAGGTCTCTGTGTAGCTCTGGTTGTCCTGGAACTTGCAGTGTAGACCTGGCTGAACTTACAACTTACAAGGATGACCTTGAATTTGTGATTATCCCCTCCTCTTCCTCCTGGCTGTCCTGGAACTTTCTCTGTAGACTAGGCTGCCCTCACAGAGATCTGCTTGCATTTGCCTCCCAAGGCGAGTTGCCACCACCAATTCAGGTCGCTCTCTCCTTTTTGAGACTAGGTTCTGCTCTGTAGCCCTGGCTGGCCAGGAATTTGCATTGTAGAGCAGACTGGCTTTAACGCCTACATATCTGGTTGCCTCTGCCTCCTCGGTGCTGCTTCTAAAGGTGGGTGCCACAAAATCTGGGCCATATTTTAGGAATGTTTTAGTTTTGTGTGCATGGTAATATCAAATATGCCATATAGAAAATAAGAGTATCTATAAGAAAAAAGTCTGAGACTAGAAGATGTTTGAAAGTTTGTAGGCTCAGGTTTTCTATATTTTCTTTTCTTCGCTAAATGACTTAACACCAGTATCTTTCATATTCTTTTTTCTCTGGTCACATACAGCCTGTATTTTTATTTTTCCTTTCAGTGCTGGGGATGGAACCAGAGGCATGGTTCCATCACTGAAGTACATCCGGCATGATTTTTTTGTTTGTTTGTTTTTGGGAGGGTTTCTCTGTGTAGTCTTGGCTGTCATGGACTCACTTTGTAGACCAGGCTGGCCTTGAACTTATAGAGATTCACCTGCCTCTGTCTCCCAGAGTACTAAGATTACAGACCTGTGCCACCACGCCTGCCTCCCAAATATTTTTATTGTTACCAATTTAATATGTTATTTGTGACAAAGTCTAATAATATAGCCCAACCTGGCCTGGAACTTGGGTCTTTATGCCTCTGTTTCCCAACTGCTGGGATTTACCAGTGTGTGCTGCTGTACCCAATCTTTTAAATTATTGTTGTAATTTTTCAGTGCTGAGGTATCAAACCCAAGGTTTTATGCCTGTTAGGCAAGCGTAGGCTATATTTTCAGCCTTGAACTTCAGGGCTGAAGTAAAAGCCCCCAAACTTTTAGTTGTTGGTGACTTAATAGAAAAGGAAAGAAAAAACTTTCAGACCATGTTTCCAGAGGCACTTAGGGTTGTATTGACACTATGTGATTGAGCCAGTTTGTAAAGAAACATCTTCAGTTGTTTCAAAGCACCAGGCCTAGAGTAATATCACAGCTGCTGCTACTTCTCTGACTTTGTGTTATAGTAATATTTGGAGTGATGTATTGGGGACCACTGACCTTCAGGTAGCTCACCTTTCTTTTTTTTTCTTTTTTTTTCCTTTCCTTTTTTTGCTTGTTGGCTTTGTTTTGTTGTCTGTTTTTTTTTTTTTTTTCTACCTGGCTTTCCTGAAACTGGCTCTGTAGACCAGGCTGGTCTTAAACTCACCGAGATCTGCCTCTGCTTCCTGAGTGCTGGCATCAAAAGTGTGTGCCACCACCATTACTACCTGGCCTTTTTTGAGTGTGGTGCCCAGCATGCGTGCAAGAGCCTTTGGAGGCCAGAGAGGGTGTTGGCTTTTCTGGAACTGGAGCCATAGACAACTGGGTAGCTGCCATGTGGATGCTGGAAACCAAACCCAGATCCTCTGCAAAAGCAACAAGTGCTCTTTACCAATGATCCATTTCTCCAGCCTCCAGAATTATTTCTTTTTCCTTTAGAAACCTTTTTTAAAGGGCTGGAGAGATGGCTCAGTGCTAATTAAGAGCACTGGCTGCTCTTCCAGAGAGCCCAGATTCGATCCCCAACACCTACAAGGTGACTCACAGCTATCACTGCACTGAGCCATCTATCTAACCCTAAACTTGGTTCTGTTTCTTAGACAGGGTCTTACTATGTAGCCCTGGCTGGCCTGGACTCACTTTGTAGACTAAGCTGCTCTCAAATGTACAGAAATCCACCTGCCTTTGCTTCCCAAGAGCTAGAATTAAAGCCGTACATGACCAAGTCCAAATTTTTGGGGAAAAAAATTCCCTTAAATTATTTTTGATAGAGGCTCTCACTGTGTAGCTGTAGTCCAAAAAATTGGCATTCCTCTCTTACTTTAGCATCCTGAGTGATGAGATTACAGCCTTGCCTGACTGATTTTGTACTCTTGAGGCAGTGATGTGAAAAATAGTAAAACGGATAAACTGGACTTAGAAATAAGAGGATGGGTTTGTATATTAGTTTAGTGCACAGACAATTGTGATACATTAAAAAGCAAAACCCACCTGGCCAAAGAGGACTTCAGACTGAAGCCCAATTAATTCATGTGACTGGAGGCAAAATATAGTGTTTGTGTGAGTGTGGGAGTGTGGGAGTGTGTGTGTGTGTGTGTGTGTGTGTGTGTGTGTGTGTAGAGACCAGGCTTACCTTGAACTTGCTGTGTAGCCAAGAATGACCTCAAGTTTCTGATCTTCTTGCTTTTAGGTGCTAGGATTACTGAATATGTGTCACACACCCATTTGAGGTGCTGGTGATCAAACTAGACTTGCAAATGTTAGGCAAGCACTATACCAACTTGAGCTATAGCTCCAGCTCTAAGATAAAAGATCTGACCATGCTTAATAGATTAATACTATAATTAGAGCCGGGCATGGTGGCACAGGCCTATAATTCCAGCATTCAGGGAGGCAGAGGCAGGCGGATCTCTGTGATTTCGAGGCCAGCCTAGTCCAGTGAGTCCAGTACAGCCAGGGCTACACAGAAAAACCCTGTCTTGAAAAACCAAAACAAACAGTTGGGGACCAGTTCATAAAATTTTAATAAAATCAAATCTTTAAAGTAGAATTCTGTTACTTGTCCTCAGCCTGTTTACAAATAGCCTACTTTATTTACTATCAAAAGAGAAAAAAAAAAAGTAGTTTTGTGAACTGGACAGTTAAAAAGAGAGTCCAGGGAAGGAAATTTTCTTCAAATACCCTTAATTTATGACTTGAATGAATTTTTAAGATCTCAAGACACTGGAGAATGAATTTGACATAATTATAAGACTGGTGTTTAAGATCTTGTTATGTATGCCCCTTTATCCTAATCTTTATAGGGTGTCAATCATTTAGCATTCGTGACGTTTGACCTATCTTGGGCTCTTGGAGAAGGTATTCTTACTTAAGGCTTCTGTTTGTTCTTTTCTTAATCTTACTTTATTTTACCTATGCTTTCCTCCCCAGGTTTTTCGTTGGAATATACGTTGCACATTTATGGCGATTCTGAGTGTGAGGGCAGACTTCTGCCAGGCTCAGCACAGCGTTTTTGCTGACAAGTGAGCTTGTGGGTTATATGTGCCATAATTAACATTGCCTTGAAGACTCTGGACACCGAAACTGGCCTCAGAAGTAGTAGGCTTTTTTTTTTTTAATTGCAAGCATATTTCTTTTAATGACTCCAGTAAAATTAAGCATCAAGTAAACAAAAGTGGAAAATAACCTACACTTTTAACTTGTCTCACTAGTGCCTAAATGTAGTTTAAAGGCTGCTTAAATTTTGTATGTAGTTGGATTTTTTTGGAAGCTGAAGGTATCCATCTGCAGACATTGAGGCCCAAGTTGAATTTGGATTCAAGTGGATTCTTAATATTCTGCCTGTGTTGAAGAGAGAAGCTTCATAAGGAATAAACAAGTTGAATAGAGAAAATAGAGATCAATAATAGGCATTTTAGTGGTCTTTTTAATGTTTTCTGCTGCGAAACATTTCAAGATTTATTGATTTCCTCCTCCCTACCATTTTCCCCACCACACTCACACACGCACGCTCACACTTTTGATTTGCCACAATGAACCGTCCAGCCCCTGTGGAGATCTCTTATGAGAACATGCGTTTTCTGATAACTCACAACCCCACCAATGCTACTCTCAACAAGTTCACAGAGGTAAGATTGTCACATAGTCTATTTTTGGGATTGATTTATAGCTTAAATGTACTATTTAAAATTAGTATTTTAAAAATAACATAACTGAATGTTTTATTGTTTCATAGTTTACATTGGGTTGAATTATTACAATATAGAAGTTTTGAAAGAATTTATGGAATTTGGGGATACTCTAGTTTACTACTTTTTTCTTGTGTTGTAGGTTTATTATTAGCAATACTTTTTGTCGTTTTCAGTAATAAAATCCATTATTGACCACAGTGTGTGCTCAGAACTGTAGTGAGCACTAAGCACTGTTTGTGTTAAGGTATAAAAATTCAGTGAGACACAGATACTGTTGTTCCTTCCCTCCTACAGGTAAGGCCAGTCAGCCTCAGCCACTTAGTCATTGGCGCAAAGGCTCATTGTATTTGGTAGCACTAGCACCGTAAGCCTGTCACAGTAAAGCTTGTGCTAAGGGGTGGGTGAGATGGGTAAAGGAGCTTTCTGTCAGGTGTGCAACCTGAGTTCCATCCTGGGGATATGAGAACTGGTTCCCCCAAGTTGTCCTCTTGACTTTCGCATACTCCATAACACACCTATGTGTGTCCATGTGCACTAGATTAAAATGTAATAATTAAAAAGAGAAAATTATACATACTTCAACCCCAAACTACTTGGTAATAATAGTTATCACAAATACAGGAATCCAGAAGCTTGGGAAGATATAGTCTCATTTGTTCCCCCCTTTCGTTAATGAAGACAATGAACAAAGTTTTTACTTTCTTTAACAAATATCTGAATATGAAGTTTTAAATTTTTTACTGGTTGTGTTGCTCAGTGAGAATTCTGTTGTGTGTTACGGAAGAGGGAGCAGCTGGGTGCCATCCAAGGACTCTTTTATTTTATGGGTGGCAGAGCTGAGGCCAAATAGATTTTATCATAAAAAAGTGTAACACAGTGTTCTGATGAGTGATAACTGAAACTTGTTTTAAGATTCTAAATTTTTTTTCATTTTTGTGGTGCTGGGGATTGAACTCAGGGCCTCATGCAGGCTTGCCATGGACTTTACCACTGAGTTACCTATGCCTCCAACATACGTAATTTGAAGTCTTTTTTCCCACTTCAGTGTCACTGGAAATGGAGCCCAGGGCCTCAGTGCATGCCAAGAAACTGCCACTGAGCTATGTTCCCCACGCTTTTCATTGGCTTTTTATTTTGAGGCACTCACTAAATTTCCCAGCCTGGCCTTAATTTAATCTTAATTCAGTAGTTTAGGTGGGCCTTGAACTTGTGATCCTTCTGTTTAGCCATCTAAGTAGCAGATATTACAGGTCTTTGCCACTAGGCCCACCTGAAGTTCCTGTTTAAAATTCATAGCCAGAGCTGGTGAGATAGTTTAGTGGGAAAGGCCCTTAACTACCAAACCTGAGAAACTTCGGTACAACCTCCAAAACACATATGGTGGAAGGAGAGAGCTGAAATTAGAATATTGTTTTCTGACCTCCACATATCCACTGTGGTATGTTCATAAGCACAGGCACAAAAATGAATAAATGTAAATAATTGTTTTCTAGGCAGGATCTCGTTATATCAAGGCCCTATCTGGTCTTGAATTCCAGAGATCTGCCTGCCTTTGCCTCTGGGGAGCCATTCCTGGCCTGTATTTTTTTTTTTTTTTTCCTTTAAAGGAGCAAAGGCATCTGGCTATAGTTGTGTACTAGCTCTTTTAAAATCACTTTTTCTTCCTAATTTCAAAATCAAAACAGCCAGCCTGTGGTGTCATATACCTTTAATCCCAGTATTTGGGAGGCAAGGGGCAGGCAGATCTCCGTAAATTAGAGGACAGCCAGGGCTGTTTTACAGAGAAACCCTGTCTCGAAAAATAAACAACAAAAGCAAAATCACATAAATTAAAAACCTTGATTTGTTAAATACCTTCTAGAATTTTTTTCCTGTGTGTGTATATTTATAAGTACACCATGTAAGATCATACCGCATATTTACTGTCTTTACTGTTGCTTTTGTATTATTCACTGTATGGGTGTGCCATCCCTCTTGTGGAACACTAGTAAACAACATTTCTACCTTTTACTGTTCTGTCTATGGTGAAGGTGCTGTGTAAGCTGCCCTATCTTTAATTACCTCTTTCTGTGAAGTCCCAAGAATAGAGTTTTTAGGTCAGTGTATATAAACTTTTAAAAAGTTTTTATGCTGTGCTACTAAATTGTCCTTTATTCCCACAAGGAGTGTGTCTGTGTTTTTGCAGTGAGATCAGTTTTGAGCTTTGCCTAAGAACGATACTGTGTAGTTTGTAATAGCACATTTCTCAAACATACGTCTCAGATTCCAAAAGCAAGTACCCTGATAGCTGTTTTCTTTAAAGGAACTTAAGAAGTACGGAGTGACAACTTTGGTTCGAGTTTGTGACGCTACATATGATAAAGCTCCAGTTGAAAAAGAAGGAATCCATGTTTTAGTGAGTATATAGTGTCTTTGTTTGTTTCTACAGACACACTGACATTTTGATATTTATGAAGCTTGGTACCCAAGTGCCAAATTACCAGTTGCAGAGTTACTTTGGATTAATGCATGAGCAACAGCATTCATTTTGTACTTGGAGTCTGTTATTGCAGAATATTTTCAACAAATGATGAAGGGCAAAATTGAGTGCACACTTATTTCTGAAACATGGAAATTGGGGACTAGGGGGAATGTCTCAGAGAGTGGAGTGCTTGCTGTCAAAGCACGAGGACCCGAGGTTGTCCCTTAGAATCTCCAAGTGAAAAGACCTTGTCTCAAAAAATTTTAGGAAAAAAGGGGTTAGGCATTGCAGCGCCTGTTTTTAATTCCAGTGCTTACGAGGCAGAGGCAGGAAGGAGGCTCTCAGTCTACATAGTGAGTTCCAGGCCAGCCAAGGCTACAACAGGGAGACCCTGTTTCAAGACCCCCTCAGAGATAAAGTGGACAGTAGCCGAGTAGGACCAATACCTGAGGTGTCTTAGACCTCCACATGCCTGCATATACAATGAAAATTGTCATTTTTATATTTTGGAGATTAATTCAGTATTTAGCTTTTGTTTCTATGTTACTAATTTGAATATAATAAAGTAATTTTCATCAGAACCACTTCATATGGTTCCTCTGCCATTTTCTGAGTGCTAATCTATTAGAGACTTAATGTTTTGTGGATAATGTGTAGAGGACAAAAAGGCAGGAGAACAAGCTAAGGGCTGGGAGAAGGCATCATGGTACAGAGTAGTTTGTAACCCTTTGGTAGATTTCTGAAGCGCTCTGGTAGGGTTAGACCTAGCCAGTCAGTTGAAGACAAAGCGCGCATGCTAATTGTTCTTTCTTTACAGAAAAGAGGAGACTTGGTTAGTTAAAACTCTACCTTCTCCTTCCTCCACTTCCCAAATAATTTGGCTCATAAGAGCAGCTGTTAGGAATGGAATGACCTTATAGTCTTCTGTGCCATAAGGTCTTATGTGCCTTTGTGAGGGCAATGTAGTAGGAAGAGAACTGGAGATTGTGTAAGTAACTGGGAAGAGAGTAATAAGGAAAGGTAGGTAATTCAATGATCTCTGGTCCCTACCTGGTCAGTGGCTGGGGAGGCAGTTATGTAACATGGTAAGTTTCCTTGTTGGTAAGGTAGCTTGTCATTTCATGTCTGTGGTCAATAGTCTTCTCAACTATTGCCAACATAGTGTGTTTTTAAAAAACTGTGGTCCATGGGTTGCAATCAGTCTTTTATTATTGTGTGCATGTGTAGAGGTCAGAAGAGAACTTTGTGCAATCAGTTCTCTTCTACATTTATTTGGATACCAGGGGTCTAACTTAGTTCATCAAGCTTGGGATCAATGGAGCTGTCTAACCTGCCTGGCCCTGTGTATTTTACAGACAGATTTTAAAATTCTGAACTGTGGTCCATATCTGACCCAGAACTTGGGAGGCTAAGCAGAAAAAATTTAAGTTAGGACTAGATTGTTACTGTGAAGGCCAGGTCCAACCTGACCTTTGTAATGAAACTCTTGTCTCAAAACCAGAAGGTTCAAATTTGGAATTAAGCTCATACAAGTTAGTTTTCCCCTCTTTTGTGTTCTTTAGTGGGTACATGAGAAATCAACTTATTTGGTAATGGGCAGTATGAGAAGATAGATCACTTTGGATTGACCATGGTCTTTGAATTAGTAATGTTGGCAAACACCTTCATAAAATACAATGAACCATAGAACCTGAATTAGTTTGTAGAAGATACTGTTAGGTCTGGGATTTATTCCAGTCCTTTAAATTTGGCTTTCTGTTTTGTTTTAAATAGTGGGGTCCAGATAAAATTAACTGTCTTAACCTAAACTTGAAGAAAATTAGGTGGTTGCCATTTTCCACGCAGATTTACTCAAATTTTCACAAGAAAGAGGTTTCGAAAGTGTTACTCTGAAAAGTAACAGATAAAGCCCTTCCAATTCTTTAAATAGTCTTGCAAGTCACAGGTGCATTGGGATAGGCCACCTGATGGTGATGTTAGCAGCATTAGTGTAGGTTCTGATATTTCTAAATTATTTAATGCTTCTTTTTAAAACTGTGTTCCATCTGCTTATGCCTGCAATCTCAGCTCTTGGAAAACTGAGGCAGGAGGAGGGGGAGCCAACTTGAGTTAACATTTGAAAAACAACAGCTGAGTATGATGTTGCCTTTGGGAGGCAGAGGCAGGTGGATCTGTGAGATCAAAGCCAGGCTAGTGTATGTATATATATATATATAGGGAGGTTGTCCAACCAGCCAGGGCAACAAACACTGAGATCCTGTCAACAAAACAAAACCTCAGACAAACAACAAACCACAGAAAGAAGCTGCTTGTCTTCAAGGGTAGCATGTAATGCACATTGTTTCTTCTCCATGTCACTTTAAAGGAAGCTAAGCTCTCCACTAGGTGCTTGAATACAGTTTAGCTATAGTAACAATTGTTAGAACACTGGCAGTCCTTTAATTATGAGGCAGAGTTGACAATTCAAACATAATTGGCTGTTGTGGCCAATGGGCTACTTAGAATGTTCCACTGGTGCCAGTAATGATTGCAGGATCAGTTTTTGCTTTTCTAGTGTTCCAAGCCAGTCTCAGTACAATAGTCTCAAGCTTCAGAAAAATTCTCCATTCCATTTTTGTCCTTTAGGAGTGGGAGAGAGTGCATAGAATGTGATGGATCTTTCCTGTTTGTGTCAGGTTAATAAGGAACTCTTGGCTAGGGTGTCAAGGAAGATTAGAAAAACAGTAATGTGCTGTATAGTAAATGCAGGTAGGGCTGAAAGAAAACTCTGATCTGGAAGAGAAAGGGAGGCTGCATGTGGTGAAAATGGTGACTTTTAATCCCAGCAATGGGTGCCATGGGGATTTCTTGAGTTCAAGGCCATGGAAGGCCTGTCTCAAGGCACTGAAAAAAACAGGTGGGGGTGGGGGATATTTCAGCACATGCCTAGAATTTGGGAGTTGGAAGCAGGAGGATCAGAAATTTAAGATCATCTTCAAGTTCAAGGCCAGACTAGGCTGCATGACACCATAAAAAAAAAGGGGGGGAGATACTTGATAAAATAGTCTCAGGAGCCTTGTCATTGATACTGTCCTTACCAAATGAGATATATGCAATTTGGGCAGAGTTTTAATCCCTGCATTTTAATTTTATGCACACAAAAATGATACATTTATTGGAGATTTCCAGAAAGCTCTCTCTCTTTTTCTATCTCTTTCTTTTTGGTTTTTTGAGACAGGTTTTGTCTGTATAGCCAGGCTGTGCCGGAACCCAACTTGTAGACCAGGCTGACCTCGAACTCAAAGAAGTCTGCCTGCCTCTGCCTCCCAGGTGCTGGGATTAAAGGGGTGCTCTACCACAACCTGTTAAAAAGGATTTCTTTTTTGTTTGGTTTTTCGAGACAGACGTTGTATGTGTAACCTTGGCTGTCCTGGACTTACAGAAAGCAAATTTTGTTTTGTTTGTCTGTTTGGTTTTGATTTTGGAGACAGGGTTTCTCTGTGTAGCCTTGGCTATCCTGTGCTCCCTTTGTAGACCAGGCTGGCCTCAAACTCACAGAGATCCACCTGCCTCTGCCTCCCTGAATGCTGAGATTACAGACGTATGCCACCAAGCCCAGCTAGAAAGTATTTTTTAAAGGAGGAGATAGGTTGCTGTCTTAGGGTGTCTAAGACATGCTGTGAAGGGATAGCAAGGCCGTGGCAACTCTTTATAAAGGAAAAAATGTGATGGGGCTGGCTTACAGTTCAGAGGTTTAGTCTGTTATGTTTAACAGGCAATTCAGCTGGCCTACCCTTAGGGACCTTTAGGTTCCTGGCAACATCCTATGTCAGTACCTGCGTCCTATCATCATCTGGGCCAGATACTTCAGGCCTGCCACTTTCCCTCTTGTTCTCTCTGCTCTCTCCCCTTTCTCTTTTGGGGTGTCTCTTCTCTTTTCTCCCCCCATCTCTGTCTCTTTCACTCTGTCCTCATAGCTCATTCAGGCCCTAATTTTCTTTTGCTTTCCCGAATAAATATCTTCCCTACCAGATCTGTCATATGTGCTGTATTTTAAGTCTGTCATAACATTTGATGCCGTGACTGATATAGGTCCTTCTAACTGCCATGAGGGACTGGCCCACCACTTGGTCATACTTGGTCATACCACCCAGGCTGCTAGAATCCTATTCAATTTGGATCTGCCCGCTGTGACAGATTTGCTCTTTCAACTCCATAACTCTTCTTTTCGAGACTCTATTATTGTCATGTTGGGAGCATGGCAGCATGCAGGCAGATACGGTGCTTCTGGGGGAGCTGAGAGTTCTATCTACATCTTGATCTGCAGGCAGCAGAAGCAGACTGTCACACTAGCCAGTTTGTAAGACCTTGGAGCCTGCCTCCACAGTGACATACTACTTCCAAGGGCATACATACTCAAACAAGGTCACACTGCCTAATAGTGCCACTTCCTGTGACCAAGTATTCAAACATGAATCTCTGGGGCCATTCCTATTCAAACCACCACAATAACCAAGGGAATAATCCTCAAATACACTTTTGAAGAGACCAGTGAGACTGTCTGGTACACTTTACCAGGCAGGCTTAAAGCATGTTAGCAATGATTGTCCTCTTACTTGTTCTCAGTGTTAATGGTTTTCTTTATTATGTCTAGTTGCTACTCTGACCATACAGTGTCTAGATCTGTGACACAGATTTTTAGTTAAGATAGGGCTGGGAGTGTGTGATCAGTGGTAAAATGCTTGCCTAGTGTTTATAAGTCCCTAGGTTCAGTTCAAAATATATGTGTGTATCTGTGTCTTTCTATCTTTAGATGTGTGTGATATTTGTTATATTTCATTTTAGAAGACTCATTTGACAGATTCAGGTTTAGTTTTTCAGTAGTGATCAGGATTGTGTTAAGTATAGGTGTGTGAGCCAGGCAGTGGTGGTGCACGCCTTTAATTCAAATGTTTTGGGGGTTAGAGGCTGGAGAATCTCTTGCGTTCCAGGTCAGCCTGGTCTACAGAGTGAGTTCCAGAATGGTCAGGGCTATACAAAACTGTCTCAAAAAACAAAACAAAAACCGAAAAAGGACTAAGTAGCTGGTTGTTGGTGGCTCACACCTTTAATCCCAGCACTTGGAAGGCTGAGGTGGGTCTTCCTGTCTCAGGAGTTAGCCGTTGGGGGGGGGGGGGGGTTGTTAAAAAAAGGAATAGGTTTAAGTGATATAGTTAATTCAGTTAAATCTGCCTGCCCTGCCAACTATTTCCAGCTCATTTGTGTTAGGAAGTTAGTCCTTGAGAACCTAGCAGTTTAATGTAAGAAGTCATTTCTTTCAGGATTGGCCGTTTGATGATGGAGCTCCACCCCCTAATCAGATAGTAGATGATTGGCTAAACCTGTTAAAAACCAAATTTCGGGAAGAGCCAGGTTGCTGTGTTGCAGTGCATTGTGTTGCAGGTTTGGGAAGGTAAAAACTTTTTTTTCTCTCTGAATTTATTGTTATATCTAAGTAAGTCAACTAAAAATTTCACCTTGGTAGAATTGCATTTGGCAATTAAATGATACTAAAGCACTGGAAAGGAAATGAGGAAATGCTAGTATAATAGGCTTTCATAAGAGCCATTTGTGTTGGGTCTGGATCTGATTCTAATGCCATACTGCATGTAAGAGTTTTAGGTTATTAAGTGGGCAACAAAATTATCATTGTTTTAGAGATTAAATTATCTGTATATGGTTGGGTTTGGATTGAATTGAAAAGGAAGTTAACAGAAGGTTACTTTAAGAACCAGATGTATGAGGGTGTGGAGAGATGGCTCAGAGGTTAAGAGCACTGGCTGCTCTTTCAGAGGTCCTGAGTTCAATTCTTAGCAACCATATGGAGGTCACAACCATCTATAATGAGATCTGGTGCCTGCAGGTGTACATGCAGACAGAACATTGTCTACATAATAAATAAACAAATGATTTTTTAAAAAAAAGAACAGGTGTATGGACAGTAAAACTTGACTGTGATTAAAAACCTTTTTCACTGAGCATTGCTTTCAATAGTGTGGTTATACTTTGATCAACATCAGGTTAAATGCCAATTTATAGTGTGCACTGTGACTCAGACCATTACTGTGAGATGCCATTGCCTTAAGGTATCGGTGACTTGAGCCATTAGCTCTGCTTAGCACTTTAGTGTGCCCAGGCTTCTTTATGAGGTTAGAAGTTTCTGTTCTTCTCTTGAAGGCTGTTGTGGTATAAGGCCTCACTGGGTCACTTTATTTCTTGTGCCTGTCTCAGTTAAGTAGTCAGAGGTATTATTATTAATACTTCTATTAATGAGTTTTAACACCTTTTGTTTTTTTAAGAATAGAGACTAGAACTGGTGGTGTCACATGTCTTTAATCCTGTGCCTTTAATTTTAGCTCTTGGGAAGCAGGGCCAGGCAGATCTGTGAGTTTGAGGATAGCCAGGACTCTACAGAAAAAAAACAAAACAAAAAACCAATAAAGAAGCTGAGTATAGTGGTGCTGGGAGGCAGAGGCAAGGACTACCCATGAGTGTGAGGCCTGCCTGCTCTATATAGTGAGACTTTGTTCCAGAAGAATACATTGGGCTACCGAGTTGGAGAGGAAAAATCTTGAGTGTTTGCTCGCTCGTGCATTTTCTTTCTCTCTTCCCCTCCCCCCATTCATTACTTTGTTAGTTTGTTTTGGAAACAGAATCTCTATAATTTGTAGTCCTGGCTCTCCTAGAACTCACTCTGTAGACCAGGCTGGCCTTGAACTCACAGAGATTCACCTGTCTTCCAAATGCTGAGATTAAAGGCCTGTGCCACCATACCCAGGACAAGCTCAAATTGGTGATGTGTGAGCATTCAGTTAAAAAATGTCTTTATAGAAGGGTGGTAGAGGGGCTGGAGAGATGGCTCAGTGGTTAACAGCACTATCTGCTCTTCCAAAGGACCCGAGTTTAATTCCTAGCACCCACATGGCAGCTCACAACTGTCTGTAATGCCAATTCCCAATTCCAAGGATCTGACACCTTCACACTAATGCACATAAAATAAGATTAAATAAATTATTTTTTTTAAAAAGGGGTTATGAAGCTATAAGAACCCAAATAAAATTAAAAAGTATCTTTAGATTCTAAAGGCATGTGGATACTTAACCATCGATGGGTGGCCTTCTCTCTGCAGGGCTCCTGTGCTAGTTGCACTTGCGTTGATTGAATGCGGAATGAAGTATGAAGATGCTGTTCAGTTCATAAGACAGTGAGTATGAAGTTGTATGTTCAGAAACTCCAATTGGGGCTATACATGAGGAAGAGGTTATGGAAAGGAATCATTTGGAATATGAAAGAACTGGGTAGTTTGGGCTTCAAATACTGTTTAAAGATAGATAGAAAAAAATTAAGGCATGGGACAAAGACCGAATACCATGGGTTTGTGATTGGATGTCTAAGAATCTTGACACTGAGTAGATTGATCAGTGCTGCTTTCGTTGGATTACATAGAACACCCAGCACAATTTAATATATGACTAGCAGGCAAAAGGAATGCATGGAGGAGTAGATTAATCACTTGAGATTCTTACATGTGCTGTTTTCATACAGTATTATAATGGTTGTGTCCTGACAGCCTAGGTATTAGTCTGAAGTAATAGACCATGCTGTCCCTTTCTTTAACAAAATTAAGAGGGGGAAAATACTGTGGTAGAGACATGCAATGCATGGTTCTTGGCTCCGGGACAGAAGTGTCACACTGTCTGCCATTCATGTCTGTCCTGAGGTTTAACCTTATTTTATTTTATCTTACTGTTACTTATTTACTTGGTGTTTTTTGTTTTTTTCAAACAGGGTTTCTCTGTGTAGCCCTGACTGTCCTGGACTCACTTTGCAGGCCAGGCTGGCCTTGAATTTACAGAAATCCACCTGCCTCTGCTTCCCTGAGTGCTGGGATTACAGGCATGCACCACTGTGCCCAGCTATGTTCCAACTTTTTAAAATGATGTTGTATGGATAATATGCAGATTTTCAGCTGGGAGAGCTAGATAAGAAGGCATTATTTTATAAGTAGTACATTTCAGTAAGCTGTACAGCTCTTTGCTACATGATTGTGGACTGTTTTTGTCTTTTCAGAAAAAGAAGGGGAGCATTCAATTCCAAACAGCTGCTTTACTTGGAGAAATACCGACCTAAGATGCGATTACGCTTCAGAGATACCAATGGGCATTGCTGTGTTCAGTAGAGTAGAGGAAGGCTGACTGGATCGTGGCATAGAGGGAACTCTTGGTACCTGGAAATGTGAACCTGGAATCTTACTGTGTCATCAAAGTAGTAATGGATTCAGTACTCCTCAACTCCTAATGATTGAGAAGAAAGCAAGCGATAAAGAAATCCCTCTATAACACGAATAAAATGTTTAAGAAAAGAAAAAAGAAAGGAAAAGGGATTAATTTAGTGAAAGATGATTATGCTCCTAGTTTTGGAGTTTTGATTTCTGCCAGGATTGAATTATTTTAAAATCTCCTGTGTTTTTTAAGCTTTTTCAAAATAGATGTCTGAGGAAAACCAGCAGAATATTAACCAGTGTGGAGCCAGTTGTCGGGGAGCACACTCTTCATTATGCTTGGCACGTAGGTCTCTTTGTGGCGGGATTTGGGGGAGGTAGATTTTTCTCATGTCTCTTCCAGCCCCCTCCCATCTCCTGATACATGTAGATGGAATAGGAAGAAGCCCTTGTTGCTGTAGGTGTGCGTGTGTCTGACAGCCTTAAGCCCACCTGGGCACCACCAACAAAAAATAACCCCCACCCCCGAAAAAAAAAAAAGAAAGAAAGAAAGCAGTGGGACATATATGATTCAGGTGGTTTTTAGTCTATTGATGATGGGTGTTCATGTTAGTTTCTTTCCGCACAGCCCTGATCTAACATTAGAGTGTCAGAAGTAGCCAGGAGCCTTTCGTTTGGGTAAATGGTGAGGAAATGACATTCTAAAGAGGCTGTTTGCTATAATTGAGTTGAGAGAATCCTTTTTTTTTCCCCCCAACAGTGAAACAGTGGGCATCCCAGAAACTATTGAAAAGATGTGTCCAGGAGAGTTAGTATGTTTCTACAACTGTAGAACTGTAGGCTGTGGGTTTGCTATCTAAAGATGTCATGGAAAAGCAGTATCTTAAAATTTTAAGACTGATTTTAGAAATAGTCAGAGAAGCAACAGAACACTCACAGTGTTACAGTCTTGAGAAATGCATGTGGTGGTGGTTTTCAAATTACTCTTTGTACAGTTCAGTGTAACCACCTGACACCTTGTTATTACTAGATTGTTCTGAGATTAAAAAAAGAAAGAAAAAAAATCATGGTCAGACCCAGCCTTACCTAGTGAGTGTGTGTCCCCGCTGTAACAGGGTGGAAGAGCAATGGCAGGCAGCCCAGTGAGCAAGTAGCAAAGGGGGCTGCGGTGCTCCCGGCATACAGTGGCGTTTTGTGGGCTCTGCTCAATGTGTTGCTACAGAAAAGCTCTTTCCTTACTTGCAGAAGGCAGTTGAATAGGCTGTGATGACAAAGCAAGTAGAGGGGCATCTCCTGGGACCCCCTCTTCACCTAAATGTTTCATACTTGACAGCCCCCTGTGCCCCAAGCCCTGAGTGCAGGCCTGCAGTCTGGTGATGCACTGTGCAGAGCCAGACTTCCCATTTTGTTAGTGTCAGCTAGGCCAGGAGGATGGGTGATGTCTCACTGATGACACTTTACTGTCGCTGGAATTGCTCTGATTTTGACTAAATGCAAATATGTAGAGTCCTTCCTGCCTTTTCCCAGAAAATGAAAAATAATGCTTTTGACATTGTGTCTAGAATTTTAAAGTAAAAATGGTGAATCAGTCCAAAGTTATCTTCAGAACATGACAGTAGATTGCTTTAACATAGGTATCTTACCCTTTAAGTTTAGATTGGCTGTTGACTCCCAAGGGTTTTGATCAATACCAGCAAAACCTTTTCCACTTGACATGCTAAGAATTTTTTTTTTTTTTTGGGAGGGGGGTGCGTGTGTGCGCGTGCATGTGAGCGTGTGAGCACAAGAGCTCCTGTGAGGGTATGTGCATGCAGGTGTCCATCAGTATCAGTGCCTGCCTGAGACAATTGCATTCCTAGTTCTCTGTGAGGAGAAGGGTATATAAAGCAACATAAAACAGCCTCATTTGTCTTAAATAAGACTAATGTTAATTGTTCTCAGAACTGGACTTTTCCCCTCAAAATTAAAACTTTTTTTTCTTTTGGATTTAATGAAGTATTGCTAGCTGAAGCCAGTTTGACATGTGAGAGAGATGTCAGACTGATGAAAGGTGTGCAGCTTGATTTAAAACCAAACCCTGAACCCTTTTAAAGAACAATAAAACATATTTTACATGCTCTTTGTGCATTTATTCTCTACGCCAAAACTGAGTGCTTTATGGATTCCCTGGTATTCTCAAGGCCTGATGTGTATCCTGATAGTGTACTTCAGGGCACTGAAATGTGAGGTAAGAGTAAGGATGTATCTGACCGCAGTTCAGATACAACTAATACATTTTCTAGTTCAGTTCTTGGGCTGAATGGTATAGGCATTTGGCATCTCCTTCCAAGGAATTTGTTTTTGTCATAGGTTTGGATAAGGCATTACAATTTTTCTTTAAACTTTTTTCCTTTCGGCTCTTTTAAGGCTGGATTTCTCTTGGGTGGCCCTGGGTGGCCCTTGAACTCGAGATCTGCCTCCGGAGTGCTTGGGGTTAAGGGATGGGCTACAACCACCATCGGGCTCTTTAAGCTCTTAAAGTGAAGAAATAGCTGCTTGTTGTATCACAGAGTGTCTCTTTATTCACTGGGTAAACCAGATATACATTTAAGTGCTCAGGCAGGACCCGAGTCTAAAGGAAACAGTACAGTCGGCAGAAGCTGTGTGTAATGCTAAGTATCTGTGATCTAAGCACTCTGGCTAAGAAGACAAGGTCAGGGGGTTGAGGGCTGCCCTAGGCTTTATGGCAAGATCCTGTCTTGGCACACAGTTAAAATGGATGGCATTGTGCTTTGCTCCTGAAAAGCTGTTGGTCCCACTGCTTAGTGTTTACCTTGTGCCCTGTATCAGCCCTCTTAGAGTCTATGGTTGGTTGAGGTAATTACTCAGCTCTACAGGAAATTACCATGCCCTGTCTTTTCTTTCTGACTAACCTGTTTTTGGTTAAGGCCAGTACTCGACTTTCTCTGATACTGTGCAGCTGGACATGCCAACGAGTCTAAAGTTTCATGGCCTTATGTGGACCCTAGTGCTGTCTAACACTGTCAAATCAGTCTCATTTGCTGTTTCTCCTTGGAGGTTCTTACATCTTTAATGCCTTTTCCACCTTCACATTAGTTCTGGTTGGTTTTTAAATCTGGAATCAAGGAGCTGGGAAGACTGCTCAGCAGGTAAAAGGCAAGTATAAAGGTTGAGTTCATCCCTGGAGCCTATAGAGAGAGCTGGATGCCATGGATAATTGCAATCCCAGCACTCCTGGGGAGAGATGGAAAGCAGAGGCAGAACTGTCTGAAATCTCCCAGGTCAGCTAGCTTGTAATAGAGCCAGACAGTCTCAACAATGACACTTTGAACTAGCTACTGAAAGCTGTCCTCTGACTGCCACAGTGTGCCCTGGCCAATGTGTGGGAGCACTCAGCAAAGCCAAGAAAAGCAAAGCAAAGAAGATTCACAGGTTCCTGACATCTCGCCCATCTCTGCTGGGCACCCTGTGGCACTATCTTAGTTACTGCCAACATAACCATTTAAAGGGTCCCATTCTATAAGCATCATTTCTAGGAGTAAAAAAAAAGTGGCTGTATGTGTGCCTGCTTGAGTACATGTCTCCTACATGTATGCAGGTATCCATGGAAGCCAAAAGAGAATTGTACTTACTGGTGCTGAAGGAGCCCGTGTCTTCCACAGAGCCTGAAAAAACACTAACCACCAAGTGTCTCTTGAGCCCCTCAACATTGTTTGTTTTGAGAACAGTTTCTCTGCGTAGCCCTGGCTGTCCTGCACTCACTGTGTAGACCAGGCTGGCCTCAGAGATCACCTCTGCTGGGATTACAGGTGAGTGCCGCCCCACCTTGCCTCACTTTTTTTTTTTTTTTTTTTAAGGCAAGTGTTTCCATGTATTTGATTTCATCACTTATTTTCATTTAAAGAGTTCAAATGTAAGGAAAATGCCCTTTTCGTTAACTCTAGATCATTCCCACCAACCTATAAACATGCTGTTTCTTGCATACTAAGACTGAGAGCTGGACTTGGTGGCACATACCTTTAATCCCAGCGTTACTTGGGCGGCAGAGGCAGATGTTGTTATTGAGTTCAAGACCACCCTGGTCTGTGAGTGAAGTGAGTTCCAGGATAACCACAGGTATGTAGAGGTCCTGTTAGAAAAATATTTTACTGAGGAGCTGGCAAGATGACTCGGCAAGTTACAGGCACGTGGCCTGTGCTGTGGCACACACGAGTGCACACATATAAAAGATAGAACCTGTTAGATTCCACCTCTACTTCAGTTCCTTTTCCATACCCCATACTGGAAACAGTACTACCACCAAGCTTCCTCCCCCTCAGCAAAGTTTCCCTGTGTAGCCTTGGCTGTGTTGGACTCGCTTTGTAGACCATGTCGGCCTCAAACTCACAAGAGAACCACCTGCCGTTGCCTCCCTGAGTGCTGGGCTTACAGGCCTGTGTCACTGCACTCCATGCCATATCCAGAACTATGGTCTGAGGGGAGACAGGGATTACAGGCGAGCGCCACCGCACCTGGCTTGCCTATAACTTAAGTAGAGCAGACTGATCTCATCTTGGGGTTTTGTCCCCCTCCCCCTTTAAAGTGCTGAGTTCAGGCTTGCGCTACCCTCCCTGGTTCCCAGTGAGGATTTTGATTTCACTGGGATTGTCCTGATTGAGCACCAGAAGCTCTGCTGTACTTAGTTCATTGGTGGGTTCTAGCTTCTGGCATGTCTACATGATGGAACTGATGAAATTTGAAAATTTTTATTGAGCTGGGCAGTGGTAGCACATGCCTTTGATCCCAGCACTCAGGAGGCAGAAGCAGATGGAAAATTCTGAGTTCCAGGAGAGCCACAGCCACACAGAGAGACCCTGTGACTTAATAATGGTTCCTCAAAGATGTGCACATCCTAAGTACCTGGGCCTTGTGAATGTGAGCCCAATGTGGTGAGGGACACTTACATGTGAGTAGGGGTGTTGAAATGGGAATCTTTTAAGTGCCCTGGTAGATCCTGATGTAAATGTTACTTCTTCAGAGAGCCTTTCCTGGGTATGATCAGCAGGATTTAATGTTGCTGGCTTTGAGGGTGGATGAAGGGGCCACAAGCTAGCATTGTTGGGAGTACCTAGCACTCACAGATGGCAAGCTCCCCCCCCCCCCCAAAAAAAAAAGAGCAGGTGCCACAACACCTCAGCTCTATTTCCACATGGATTTAACGAACTCTATATAGCATGGGAACTTCCGCTCTGTTTTGTAAAAAGGTTTCACTTTAGCTCAGTCTGGCCTGGAATGCCTGCTCATGTGGTGATAATATTGGGATTACAGGTGTGTGTCACCACACTGTACTTAATAAAAAAATTCCCCTGCAATGGGGTCTAATGAGGTAGCTCTGACTGTCAGGAACTCACTTGGTAGATAAGGCCGGCCTTGAATTCAGAGGTCCACTAGAACTGCATGCCACCACACCTGGCTTTAAACCTTTATTTTTAAAATGACACCTAATTTGTGTGTGTGCTTGTGTGTACCCCCTAGCATTTATGTGGAGGTTAGAGAACAGCTTGCAGGAGCTGGTCTCTCCACTGTGTGGGTCCTAGAAACTGAATTTGGGTTGTAGGCCGATGTCAAACACCTTTGCCTGCTGTGCCATCTTGCCAGCTTGAACTTTTTTTTTTTCTTTCATGTAACCCAGGTTGGGCCTAGGACTCCCAATGGTCTAGCTGCTAATAACCAACTGTGGGGCTTATGGTGGCACACACCTGTAATCCCAGCATTTGGATGGCTGAGGCAGGAGGATCATGAGCTCAAGATTAGCCTAGGCTACATAATGAGTCCCTGTCTCAAAACCCAAGAGATTAAACAGCTTGTTGAGTGCTGTGCCAACCTCCTGTGAGAGTGAGAACAGTGTGCCTATTCGTGTTTACCCGATTTCCTAGGCCCTGAGGACAGAGAGGGGAGTATGACAAAGTGGCAAGAAATTTTGGAGAAAATAGAGAAGAGTGTTCAGGCTGGATGACCTTGAATTTCTGGTCTTCCTGCCTCCACCTCCTGAGTGCTGGTGTGACAGGTCTGTGCCACTGGTTTTGATTTTGAGACAATTGTACCAAGGTTAGCCTGGAATTCCCAAACCTCCTGCCTCAGCCTCCAAAGTGCTGGGATCACAGGGTGAGAACTGCATCCAGCACACACAAATCTGAGTCAGAAGTTCCGATCGCTGCCTTCTGCAGAGCAGAGCTGCCGAAGGTCAGCGATCAGCAGTTACAAGGTCAGGTCTGTGCAGAAGGTTATGTAAGACTCTCCTTGAGGTAGAGGCTGTATTTGTAAAGTGTTACTGATTTGTACTGCTGGAGAGGGTAGAAGCTGAGGAATTCTAGGGTTAGCGATGGGCTGCTGTGGTCTAGGACAGAGAGGACTAAGGTAGAAGACTTCCCTTCCGCACCATTGTGCATGTCTGTGTGGGAGGTGACCAGTAGATTGTCAGTTCAAGGAATTCACTGGGGTGTTTGACTGTGGAAAGGGGAGGTTAGCCTCTCCCACGCCCACCTGTCTCTCATCCTCTCCACAGAGCACACAGACTAAGAGCAATTCAAATACTCAACGCTTGCAGCTCTGCCAAGCGCCCTTCGAGAGGCCATGGTAGCACACCGTGGCACTGGTGAAGTCACTTGTGCCTCCTTGGTTGTTTTAAAGGTAGGGAATCAAAGATAGAGGAACAAGGGGCTGGCACTACCAGGATCTGTCTAGTTCTCCTGTGCTCGGGTTTTCCATGCCTGACTGGATTTAGTCTTCATAGGCCTTTACAAAGTAAAGAAACTGAACAGGCCCTGCATGGTCAGTATGGCAATCCTGCAACTGACTCCAAAGCTGGCCCTTTACTACCCGGCTGGACTGCTTTGTAGACTGGGAAAGATATTTGTTAGTGATTTCTTAGGCACAGGACATTGCAAAGGAGTCGTTTTTAATTGAATTGTGTTTTGATATTCGGGGGGGAGGGCAGGAGAAGGGTTGTCCTGCTGTGTGTGTGCATGTGCATAGCAGTTCTGACTTGTCAGTGCCTTTAACTTGTGCAAACTGTGTGTAATGGGCCTTGCCAGTAACAAACCAGGACATCTGAGCCGAGTGGTTTATAGTTTATAATTG